TGTGGCCAAGTGCAAAGTGATGCACATTGGAGCAAAAAATCCTAACTATAAATACACGTTGATGGGGTCTGAACTGGCAGAGACTGACCAAGAGAGAGATCTTGGGAGTCGTAGTAGATAACTCACTGAAAATGTCAAGACAGTGTGTGACTGCAAGAAAAAAGGCCAACGCTATGCTGGGGATTATTAGGAAGGGAATTGAAAACAAATAAGCCAGTATCATAATGCTCCTGTATAAATCGATGGTATGTCCTCATTTGGAGTACTGTGTACAGTTCTGGTCACCACACCTCAAAAAGGATATTATAGCATAGGAAAAAGTGCAGAACAGGGCAACTAGAATGATAAAAGGGTTGGAACACTTTCCCTATGAAGAAAGGTTAAAGCGCTTGGGGCTCTTTAGCTTGGAGAAATGACATGATCGAGGTTTATAAGATTATGCATGGGATAGAGCAGGTTGAGAAAGAAGTACTTTTCTCCCTTTCTCACAATACAAGAACTTGTGGGCACTCCATGAAATTGCTGAGCGGTCGGGTTAGAACTGATAAAAGGAAGTCCTTCTTCACCCAAAGAGTGATTAACACGTGAAATTCACTGCCACAGGAGGTGGCTACAAGCAAGGGGGGATTGAATAAACATATGGAGCAGAGGTCCATCAGTGGCTATTAGCCACAAGGTATAGATAGGAACTCTCAGGCTGGGGCAGGTGATGCTCTGTATTCTTGGTGCTTGGAGGGGGGGGCAACAGTGGGAGGGCTTCTAGTGTCCTGGCCCCACTGATGGACCTCCTGATGGCACCTGGTATTTTTGGCCACTGTGTGACAGAGTGCTGGACGAGATGTGCCACTGGCCTCATCCAACATTGGCTTCTCTTATGTTCTTATATGTTCTTATGACCCTCACTGGTCTAATTCGCAGGGCTCTTCTTCAGTAGTTCTTATGAGGGGAAACCCTCAGCCTCCGTGCCCTCGGCCCTCCAGAGGAACTGGTTGAAGCCACTATGTGAGATGGGATGCTGGACTAGATGGACCACTGGTCTGATCCAGCAAGGCTCTTCTGATGTTCTTATGATTCTGAGGCCAAAGAACAGGGGATGTTTTTCTAAGCCTCAGGATCACCACCCCTAGCTCAGTTGCCAGCCCATCATTGCTTGTTCCATTGCTATCCCTGAAATGATCAAGCCTTCCAATGGAAAGCAGAGAGAAGGATGCAGCACCTCTGACTCTATCCAGACAGTTCCTGGAGTTCCCAGAGGTCGCTGCTTTTAAGTTCCCAAGAAAGGGCTGGGACACACACACACACCCTTGCTGCGAATTGTTTCAAGCCAAGAGCACAAAGCATGTCTATCAGGCACACTTACCACATAGAAGTCAAACGGAATGTGAGGCACAAAGGGCCGGAACCTGGAATGAAGTTAAACAAAAAAAAGGGGTTGAGACCAGGCTGGGTTTTACACACGACAAAGTTACCTTCCTGGTCCATTGAGGCAGGTCCAACCAGAGTACAGGGACTCATCCAAAGCCTTTACAGTGAGGAAGGATCTGACCCGAACAGCCCGATCCTGTGCGTGTTTACAGACACGATTCTCTCTCTATTCAGTGGGGCTTCCTCATGAAAAGTGCTTGCCTGAAAGCAGTGTAACTTGGACACTTAAGTGAACTTGGCTGAGAACAAGACGAGTGTCCAAGCCCAGTACTCTGACCACCCACTCAGGCTGTTTCAACCATTCATTTTTGCCCCCGGACCAAGCCACTGTTCACCACCGTCAAGTTTATGGCAGTGATTTCAACAACCCATCTTGCACTAACCTAAGAAAAGGGGCAGAGTGAATTAAAAAAACAATTCTGCCAGTCCACTAATGGCTGGGAGGGGGGGAAATCAAGAGTTTTCTGATTCAACACACAGAGAAACCCAAACTCAAAAGAACTGCTGAACCAGCAGTGCTGTAACTTCTGTGCAGCGGACCATTTCAACACTGTTCATTATCAACCAGTCTACAGCCCTGCTTTCTAACCCACAAAATGATATATCACAATGAGTAAATGTTTTTAGATCCATGCAAAGCTAAATTAAGCAGCAAATCAGTTTCTTTCTTCTGTAACCGGAATAGAAGGATGCTGAACTGAGAAAAACAGGACTGAGAATTGTTCTGTCAAAAGAATCAGGATATACAAAATCCAGGTGGGGTAGCCGTAGAGATGTGAAGGCCCGGAAAAAAAACGGAAAAATTCGGGGGGAAAACCAGTTTTTTTCCAAAAAATTGAAAAAAGAAAAGAAAAATGTTTGATTATGGAACGTTTTATTTTAACATGATGAATAAAATATTTTAAGACAAGCTGCTCAAATATTTTCCAAATTATTTCTAATATGAACCTTTACCTTTATGATCTAATTTCTATGCACTGAGGACAAGAAAGTCCTAGGTTACAAACTGGACTCTCCAATGCAAGAACAAGATGCATTTCTTCCTTTAGGAGGTGCGATTGTCGGAAGAAAATAAAAAAGTTTCAGTTTTGTTTTTGCATGTGGGTGGGTATTCTGTTTGTAATAATTATTTGGATACACTATATTTTTATTTTGCTAGTTGTGATAATTTCATGCCAAGTAAAAATGTCCATAGTCATATTTTATGTTCCTAAAGTAACAGAATGACTTTCAATCTGGAAAAGATAAAAGAAATGCTAATGTAGCATTTTTTCAATTTTTCCGAAAATTTCCGTTTTTTCCCGAGCTTCAAAACTTCCGGAAATTTTACATCTAGCCGTGCTGGTCTGAAGCAGTAGAACAAAATTCGAGTCCAGTGGCACCTTTAAGACCAAAGGAATTTTATTCAAGGTATAAGCTTTCATGTGCACACACGCTTCTTCAGATGGGATGGACAAAAAATATTTTCGAAGTGTGGCGTACTGGTTGGCGTGTCAGAGCTAGGATCAGGGAGACCCAGGTTCATATCTCCATCCTACCATGAGGCTTGTGTCAGTCACTGTCTCCCAGCCTAACTTACCTTTGTTGTGAGAATAAAACAGAGAAGCTAAAAACAATCTTTGCCACCCTGAGAGACTTGGGAAAAGGGTGAGATAAAAACTTACGCAATGAATAAACAGCCAAACAGATTAAAAAAAGAGCAAGAGTCCAGTAGCACCTTAAAGACTAACGAAATTAGTGGCTTTTATGAGTCACTGCTTCAGAGTATCTGAAGTGAGCAGTGACTCACAAATTTTGTTAGTCTTTAATTTTGTTAGTCTTTAAGGTGCTACTGGATTCTTGCTCTTTTCTATCTGTTTATCTCCATGTATTTGACTCTTGCTCTTTTCTACTGCTACAGACAAACTAACTAACACTGCTACCCATCTGAGTCAAACTGATCTTACTTGTGTGGGGTTTTTTTTTTAAGTTTCAGGTATAACCTCTTTCCAAAATATGGTATTTACCGCAAAATCTGAGCTTACTGCAAAAACCCTATCACTTGAAACTGAACTCGTGAGCTTATTAATAAACGTTGCAAAACTACTTTCCCTTGCAGAGGGGGAACAGATGAGAAACTGTCTTCATCAGTCATCAGATAACAGGACAATTAGGGCACTTACGTTATGGCTTCACACTGGGGCCAAGGACTGGCATATCGCCCCAGGCGGCCACCATAGATGCATGAAGCTTTGACTTACAAAAGTTCCCACCCTAAAAACCTTGTTGGTCTCTAAAGTGCTACTGGACTCCAATCTAGCGATTTCAAAATTATCAAAATATTAAAGTTTAATAGTTAAGAAACTCTGCAGACCTTCTAAGGCGGTAGAAAACAGCAAGAGTCCAGGAGCACCTTAAAGGCGAACAAAATCTGTGGCATGGGAGTTTTTGTGAGTCACTGCTCACTTCTTCAGATGTGGTATTCAACTTTAAATCATTATCAATCCACAGTTACATCAAAAAAATGAGTACACATTTATTTAGGAAGTGTCTAAATGATAATGGAAAAATATATTTAATGATTAAATTAGCTCTTATTGGTGTAGCCAGTTTGGCATAGTGGTTAAGTGTGTGGACTCTAATCTGGAAGAACCGGGTTTGATTGCCCACTCCTCCACTTGCCCCTGGCTGGATGACGTTGGGCAAGCCATAGTTCTGCCAGAGCTGTCCTTGAAATGGCAGTTCTTGAAAGAGCTCTCTCAGCCCCACCTACCTCACAGGCAATGCTCCCTCTAAATTCTGGAGTCTTGTGAGCAAAAATGTTGCTTTGTGAGCAACGGGCATTAAAGTTGTGAGTGAGCAATTCAGCTCTTGCATAAATTAGTTTGCTCTGGACTCGGAGCCATCCTTCCTGAGCTACGACAAAAATGTGTGAGCCAGAGGCTAAAAAACTGTGAGCTAGCTCACACTAACTCAGTTTAGAGGGAACACTGCTCACAGGGTGTCTGTTGTGGGGAGGGGAAGGAGTTTGTAAGCTGCTCTGAGACTCTGAGTGAAGGGTGGGGTATAAATGAAATCTCTTCTTCTTCTCTTACTGACTTAAATCAAGCCACTCTGAAACACTGGAAGGATGGGATCTGCAAACAGCCTAATGTGCTGCCCGGCCAATACAGACATCACCCAGGTCATGTTTACTTTTGTAATTTTTAACCGGAAACTGCTCACACAAGGCAGAAAGGGACATTCTACACCCATCCCATGAGCAAGCAGGGATTTCTTGCTCAGGCAGCCTGACAACCACAGCTGAAAGGCGCTGTGATGGAACAGGTGGTCAGCTAGTTATAAATAGTGCCGCAGGCAGCCAAAGGAAGGTGATACCTCCCAAGGCAGACTGGGCAAGGCCCCC